CAGGTTTCAGAGTTCACCCCGCACGCCCCCCCCACACACACACCTCCTGCCAGCACTCCCTCACAGATGTTGTGAAATCTAAACACAAGCTTTTGAAAAAACATTCATCTGTTTGTAACTTACAAATTATTTATCTAATATATCTTATTCCAATTACTTGTATATAGACTCTCCTTGCACTATGTTTTATTCTGTCTTATTTGTATTTACTTGTACTATTTTGTCTGTTGTATTGCGTTGCTCTGTTGGAGGAGCCTCAGATTGACATATCTACCCTGTAGCTATCGTCAGGTTTAACAGAAAACACCTTTATTTCAAGGCTATGAGTAACATACAGAGCAGAACTCTCTCCCCCGTGAACACAGTCAACAACAACAAGGATCTCACAAAGACTAACAGAGAAAGCAGAACCTAAATGCACACAGGACTAATCAAAGAAACAAGACACAGGTGAGGAGGGAGGAGAAAACACAGGTGAACACAATCAGGTAATCAGGCAGGAGGGAACACAGAGACACCAGGTGAACACAATCAGGTAATCAGGAGGGAACACAGAGACAGGAAGCAACAGGTAAGACATGGGATGAACACTTTTCAAACTAAAACAGGAAACCAAAGACAGATCTACACAGGACAAAAATAAAACACAGATCGTGACAGCTATGTACAAATGACAATAAAAGCCTTGAATCTTGAAACAAGCGCTCTGCAGAGAATCAGCTTCTCTATGATACCTACATTTACCAAAGTACTGTTCTTTAGTACATATTATAGTTATATAACTTATACTTTTATTCAACTACATATCAGGGGTAAGTATTTACTCTGCAGATTCAGAAGATTGATTTACCTGAAGGGCAGTTCACTTCAGAACCAGATCTGAGTACTCCTTCCTCCATGGGGGCGACGGGCGTCAGCAGCGGCTGCACGTCTGGAGCCTCGCAGCCCAGCAGGACTCACCAGAGCCATGGGGGAGAGCACAGTGTGGGGGGGGGGGTCCACTGGAGAACCAGAGACAACACAACCTGTCGTCAAACAGACCATGAGGAGGTCTCAGAGCCGGCAGCTTTAAAGCGGCTGATTTCACTCATTAGACATAACCTGCACTATTTTATCCAAATGTATCGTACTCTGATCTTATTATTATTTTTATTTTGTTGTCCTTTGTCCTTTATATAATATGTTGCATTGATGCAGGGGCTCGGGACCTAAGATTTTCATTGCCATAACTACATTTAGCTACTGTGCATTTGATAATAAAAACCCTTGAATCCTTGAATTTTAGAAATAGGAAACACACACACACACACACACACACACACACACACACACACACACACACACACACACACACACACACACACACACACACACACACACACACACACACACACACACACACACACACACACACACACACACACACACACACACACACACACACACACATTTTTCAGACACAAAAACTAAAGTCATGACAAATAGTGTCAAAGCGTTCAAAAAGTGCTAAATTGTGTGTGAATTGTCAAATGTTATTGCAGAATTAGAGCATGAGCGTAGTATTGTAGTATACAAAATATTGATAGTGATATCTGTAAGTTACACGTTTTACCCAATGCATCTGTAATGTGCTCAGTTTTCTGCACTGACCTCCTATTAATAACCTTGATTACATGTCAATACGAACATGCATCGTACATGAGACACATCCCTGATCTGTGCACAGTTAAATTAGTGGTGAACTTTCAGCAGAGGAAAAATGTAAACCTCTAAATGGCAGAGTTCAGATCCACGAGGAGAGTGTGTTTACTGTGCGCTCTGACACCTTCCTCTGAAATAATACATTCACAATAACACAGAGTCAATGTATTCCCATCCCCAGAAATTATACAGCACTCTGCTGCTTCCTGTAATTAAAGAGGGATCGCGGGCACAGTGAGGAAGATTCCCATCATCTTCCTCTCACAGCGTGGTTAGACGGGCACATAGCTTCTTCTCTGGGTCAGTAATTATCATGGAGAATAAAGGAGTCCCTAAAACAGATACAAAAAGACTGTCTATTCTTTATTTGGCCAGAGTGTTTCTTTAGAGCACTACAGCGAGGATTTTTAGGAACACATTAGGATCCAAAGTGAAGAGCATCACCAGGAGACACTCCAGGTGATAATGTAACTAACAGGATTAATTAAAGAAAACGCTCCACAGCAAGCACTGGTGGCTAAAGCTACATGCTAATCATGGTAAATACAGCGATAGCTAAGCATCAGGTGGGCGTTGAGAGCGCGTGTCCACAAACAAACACTTTTCCTTCTGCAGAAACACTTAGTTAGAGTTTCTACTTCTGTTCTTTTTTGGTCCTTATGAATATCTTGTCTGTATGTGACGTGCACAAAATGCTAATGTGTGCAATTGTTTATAAAGCCGTCTACAAGAGAGGCAAGCCTTCCTAATTATTCCTGTATTCAGATTTAGTGCTGGTAAATATAATAATAATTAAAATAATAATAACAATAATAACGGCGATTACAATAGGGTCTTCGCCGACCTCTGGTCTCAGACCCTAATAATAATAATAAGCTTTATGTGTATAGCACTTTTCATGCATCAGGTGCAGCTCAAAGTGCTTTAACAAGGCACACATCACAATTTAAAACTTTGAAATGTGAGTCTGTCCATATCAAATACTTTAATATGGATATCCCCTTACCTGTCTTCCTTGTAGTGGACGAGGCTTGGCCCCAATCCCTTACCCTTCCCCTTTGCACCGAGGGAAGGTCAAAGGATCTCCAGAAATAGGTAATGTTTAACGTGTATTCCAAGGCCACGGGGTCCCCGCGTTGATTTGAGCTTTTTTTGATGATTTTTTTGCAATTAGACTTGTGTCCTGACGGCTCAATGTTCACTTCTTGGCAGCGTACATTTTTGCCCTTTTCTTTGTCCAACCAATTAAGGCCACTATCTCTTGAGAGGTTGTTGTTCCAAAATCACAACATCTGACCTCTGAGAACTCATGGATGGTGGCAGTTGTTTCAGAGCCGCTGCCATGCCCATGGAACAAGTTGGCAGTGGGGAGAAGTTGGAAGCCTGACACTCTGGGAGTATGGAGAAGAGAGTCCATTTTAGGCATAGCAGTAAAATCCACACCATTTCAGGCTATTTTGGCTGACATGGGAGGTTGTCCATTTCAAATACTTTACAATGGGATATTCCCTTCTTTTGTCACCATTCATTTGTTATTCAAAGTGTACTTCTCCGGAAAGAATATTTCCGCGAAATGCCCTAAGAATCTCGGGATCCTCTCAGACTTGACGTTCGCAAGAGCCTTTTGAGGTAAAAAAGGCTCTTGCTATTGCATACGTAAATGCATACATACATAAATGTATGCAATACGTAAATTCCCCAAGATGGAAATTCTGTACACTTTGAATTCACCGCCCCTTCAAAATAATGCACATTTCTTCTTTTTGCTGTGGTTCTAGCCTCTGACCACCCAGAGACCTCATATTTTGTACACACTGCCTATGGGTGTGAAAAGACTGCCTGCAATTTGGAAGCTTTACGTATGCAAGGCTCATATAGTTCCCCTCTGCCCTCTCTTTCATATTAACGACACTTGTTCACAAGTGGCATAAGGTGTCAGAAACCAAAATTGCAGCCTCCTAGGCGAGAGCACGCTGGACATGTCTCAATAGTTTTAAAGGACAACTTAAAGACTGGTTGAGCAACAAACAGACGTGTAATCACCGCTAAATCCACTTTTATACAGGGGTATCTCCTCTTGCACTTTATATATCATAGCTGCTACATTGTACTTCTTCTTCTTCTTCTTCTTCGAGTCCGTAGCAATCTCAGATGTCGTTCTGCCAGTATCGGGCACAGGCCACAGCTGATGGGGTAGGTTCTGCCAGGTCTTCTGGACTGCACCGGGGGGCATCGGCACATTCCAGTAGGTGGGACATTGTCTGCACTGATCCACAGCTGCACGTGTCTTCTGTGGTGTAGTTCCACACTTTCATCAGTGCTTTGCACCTCCCCTGTTCCACACGCAGTCTATTAAGTGACTTCCAGGTTGTCCAGCCAAGGTCGTGGCCACTAGCAAGGCTTTCCGTTGGTGTGATTCCTCTGTCCAGCCATTCAAGAGCTTGTGTGTCATGTCTTTGCCATTACATTGTACTGCCATGTGGTAAATGCTTGTATGCTGCTCATGCTCTTCCTGCATATCATGTATTTATTTTTGCTATGTATATAAATGTCATGTTCTTGTATGTTGTATGTGACGGGACTACGGATGGAAATTAGCTCAAAGCTCAAATCCGGCTCATTTACACTTGTAAGCATTATTTTGTTTTAAAGTGTTCATCAATGTGCACTGTCCCGATTCAAATAAACGATTAAAAAAAAAAAAAAAAAATACTTTAGGTGTTCGACATGTACGAGGTCATATCTCTAAGATGCCAAGGGCTACATGCATGTGACTTTGGATTAGTCATTTATTGTGCCACATCTCTCACTGCACCGATTTTGATACAATCCGAGCAACCCTTGTTCCATTTATTTGAATATCGGACCCTCTGCAGACCTCCTGATTTTGTATTTCGCTGCTTGACTCTATAATGATGTACCTTCTTGCAAGAATAAACTCCCCAAAAGACTGTCTTATTCCTATAATCTTAATCTCAGTATAACGGAAAGGCTTTTTCACCTTTTTATTATTTGTGAGTTTGTCTCGATACATTTCCACCACATTACTCAGTGCTTGAATTGGAGCATAGTCTCCTGTTTGTGTCGTTTTGTTTTTCATTATCTGATCCAGAGGTAGGATGTAGATGTTGAAGACAAGAGGCCCCAGGATGGAGCCTTGAGGAACCCCATATGCATCTATCTCTCTAGCAATACACACAACAGTAGATCGAATAAATAGTTATTGAGATTATTGCTTTAACAGTTACACAAGATGCTAAAAAGATAAAGAAACATAACAACTAAATCATTCTCCTTGAGTAGTTTCGTCCAAATCCACTTTAATCCTACACAGTAGGCTTTATACACAATTATAATCACTAAAATATTGTTTTAATGTTCATGTCCACATCCATTTATTAATCAAACTGTGATCACTGGCGCCTCTGGAAGAGTCTGATGTGTGTTGGTGGTTTCCCCATTAATTCAAACTGATGATGTACGATGTAACGGACGAAGAGTCAGGGGTCAGGAGGTTATTTTAGGGTCACAGGGTCGTTCAAGGTCAAATACACCCATACAGCTAATACAGTTCCCACGCAGACAATCACTGTTTATTACAATGACAAGATGGAGAGAAACCTAAAAACATAATCAAAATCATTTTCTATATGAAGGAAAAATATCTGAAGTCTCCTCAAGAAACATTTGAATAATTCTGTCTAGTAGATTTCTCCCTGAATCCACTAAAGGTTAGCATTACATAACACCTCATGAGCATATTTAAACATTACATGTCAGAAAACATGTTGTATAAATAAAGTAATATTCAAAAGAACCAGCCAATCACAGCACAGTGAGACCAGCCAATCACAGCGCTGGTATATAAAGACATCTATTTCTTTAGAAAATATGATTTTTGTATTTTATATTTATGTTTCTCCTCTATGCAACAACACACCAAAACAAATTCCTTGCATGTGTAAAAACGGGCAATAAACCGGATCCTGAATCTGATATTATAAGTACATTTTTTAAGGTAAATTAAACTTTGGAAGATTTCCGATTATCAAATCTATCTTGATTGTTTGTTTGTTCTTTAATCAGAATATACCGTCAGTTCATCCTGTTTTCACTTCCTGTTTGACATCGGAGTCTCCTGATGGAGGGAAGAAGGGACAGAGAAAGATTAATAAAATATGAACAGAGAGAAACATTAGCAGCTAAAAAGATTGAAGAGAGCTGAAACAAGACGGAATTTAAAAGTATTTTTTGTTTTAAGATGAAACTTTAATGTAGAATATCTTGATGAATGGAGGATATGGTTTCAATACTCACATCTCTTCTGTTTCTTGGCTCTGATCGTCTGGTCATTGATCCTGTAGAGATTAACACAACCCTTGTTCTTTGAGTCAGCTTCAGAGTCCTGACTGATCTCATGCTTTACATCCCATCATATCTTCTCTGCAAACACTACGACTGACTGGCACAGCTCTCAGATAACAGGAAATAACTGCTCATTAGTCTAGAACCAAAACACATGACAGGAGAACCAAGCAGACTCACTCCTCTGTAAAATCCTGTATATCCGTTAAAAAGTTGCTTACATACTAAAATATGTTGCATTGTAAGCTTACATTATAATGTTTGTGGATGTATGAGATAAAATAATAACAAAACTGTAGTGATTGGTAGGATGATGAGTTGTGCTAAGCTAGGCTACGTCTGGAAGGAAGAACTGGAGGGATTACTCAGTGTGAAACACATCAACCCCCCAACACAAAACTGCTGAAGCAACAGAGAGTCAACCCCTTACTAACCTGAGAGTCTCCAGTCTGCAGTCTGGACTCTCCAGAAGATATCTCAGCAGCTTCACTCCTGAACCCTGCATGTAGTTCTGACTCAGGTCCAGATCTCTCAGATGGGAGGGGTTGGACGTCAGAGCTGAGGCCAGAGCAGAACAGCTGATACCTGACAACTTGCAACCCCTCAGACTGAATAAAGAAAACATGATGTAAGTTTAAACTATTCAGTCAGTATCAGCATTATGGAGCTTCATGGAAATGTTGGAAAAGGCAAATACTGAATATAACCTTTATTATTTGATAGTTTTAATAGAAACATTCAGACCTTTGTCTTTTATATAAATTATTAAGAACATGATGGAGACTGTAAGATGAATGTCAGGTGTTTAAGAGGTTCAGAGTGAATTATGCAGTGAAGGATTTTTCTTGTTATATTTAAATGTATAGATCAACATGGCTCTGCCACAGTCAGTGAACTAAACAAGAGAAGAAGAAAGTATACTTTAGCATTAAGATACTTAGTGAGGATCAGTGTAATATCAGCCTGATGTCTGCACCTCAGAGACAACACAACTCTCTTAATCTCAGCACAGAAGTAAAAGAAGGAGAACTGACCTGAGAGTCTGCAGTCTGCAATCTGGACTCTCCAGAAGATCTCTCAGCAGCTTCACTCCTGAATCCTGCAGATTGTTGTCACTCAGGTCCAGATCTCTCAGATGGGAGGGGTTGGACTTCAGAGCTGAGACCAGAGCAGCACAACTGATCTCTGACAACCAGCAGCCCCTCAGTCTGAATAAAGAAAACATGATGTAAGTTTCAAGGTTTAATAATCTGTTCAGAGCTGAACAAGGTTTAGATGTCAGAGTGAAGAAAGATATAGATCCATGATAATCCGAGCTCAAACTCTGCAGCAGTTTTTCTCTCTCGTCAGATCTTTAACAACTCCTTCATCTCCCTCACAGCTCATCAGTACTGACAGCATCTTCTCCGACTCAAGGAGCACAGTGTGAGTCTGTGGAAGCTCAAACACTGTCCGTCCCACATTTACCCTCTCTTTGTTATTCTGATAAATACTCAACCATTTGGAAAAACAGAATACAAATGTTTTTGAACTTCTTTGTTCTCAGGCTAATTCTTAAAAAATTATAAATAAAAAATACAAATATATGAACTACAGTAATTGAACTGACCTGAGAGTCTCCAGTCTGCAGTCTGGACTCTCCAGAAGATCACTCAGGAGCTTCACTCCTGAACCCTTCAGATGGTTGTCACCCAGGTCCAGATCTCTCAAATGGGAGGGGCTGGACTTCAGAGCTGAGACCAGAGAAGCACAGCTGATCTCTGACAACCAGCATTTCCTCAGACTGAATAAAGAAAACATTATGTAAGTTTAAACTATTCAGTCAGTATCAGCATCATGGAGCTTCATAAAATGTTTGGAAAAAGCAAATACTGAATATAACCTTCATTGTTTGATAGTTTTAATAGAAACATTTATTAATTTGTCTTTTATATAATTGAATAAAAACATGATGGAGACTGTAAGATGAATTTCAGGTGTTTAAGGTCGCATTCACACTTATAGTCCGCTTCTCTGGTGCGCACCAGACGACTTGTTACATTGTTTCATTTTTCAGAAGGTTCGGTTTGCGTTCACACGGCAAAACTCAAACGGATTATAAACTTTAAACACAAGTCATGTGCACGGAAATGCTGTTGAAATTGATCAGATATTAAGGGGGTACAAACGCAAATCCCGGCAATTTCTACCCGGAGCCTCCGCCATTGAGCATCGGCAGGTTATTCTCATGCTGCTGCTGTTAATCTGGAGATCAACAGACTCTAACACATATAATGAGAGACGTTCAGCAGTAAGGAGGAGGTTTCACCGACGACAGGTGGCTCTGACTTTTATGTATAGTTGACAGAGCTTTTTTACTTTACACGACACTGTCCAACACTTCATTCTGCTTCACTCTTTTGCTAAAGATTTTGAAGACATCCGCGTTCTTGTGACGCATAAATACTATGCTTCCTATGTTTTGATGCGGACTGCGTTCACCCCAGAGATGAACCGCTCCAGAGTTCACTTGCAAGTGGTCCGAGACCACCTCTTTTAAGCGGACCAGAGTCCGGTTGTTTAGTTCACTTCAGAGGACTCGGATTGTGTTCACACCGACCCAAACGAACCGCACCAAGCAGCTAAACGCACCAGGGTTCGATTCAACCGGACTATACAAGGCTGGTGTGAATGCGACCTAAGAGGTTAACCTGTTAACCCCCGAGCCTGTTTTCCAGGTCTCAGGCTCGAAAATGACATTTCCAGAACAAATGACCATAACTACACTTCTAAAAGGGGAAAATTAATAATCTTTTTTCTCAAAGTAATGATAAACCTGTGAGTTGGATGTAGCAAAGTCAGAATCAATATAGATGTTTTTTATTTTAAAGAAAATTCAGATTGAACATAGTAAAAAACTGTAAATTATAGTGTCCGTCCAAAAATTCCTTTTTACTTATAGTGAAAACCACCCTTGGATGATGGTAAGGTAGACTAAAAGCTTTAGGAATCCTCTGTAGCTATGTTAGTTTGACAATAAAGAACCTTGAACCTTGAATAATAAGTACCCTGTATCAAGATTGATGCAAAACAATTGAAATTTGACATTTTTAGAGAGAGTTGGCAAAAGAAAAACACTTCTGGGGTCATTTGGGTGGATTTGACCTATCTCTGGCCCCCCTTGGTCGATTTTGATAATTGACATCTCTTTTTAACCGCTAGAGCCAATGGAATCGAGGGAAAGTTCCACATACACACACAGGTTACCAAATAAGGAGTGAGAGTGACGCGTAGAAAAACCGGAAGCTGCTCTAACCTCTGGTGGCTACCATTAGCAGCTCATTTTTAGTCTCCGATTTTTGCATAAAAATTGAATTATGGATTATCAATAATTTTTTCAAAGTGACAGACACATTGGATTAACCTATGGATTAACCTTCAGCCGCGTTTTTTCTCGTTTTAATGCCATTGAACACGACTTTTGATCAGAATAACAGCTAAGGTGAGCATATCTCAGTGTGCAGGTCAGCACCGTAGTCAAGACCTGCTTTTGTAAAATACGACTATTGGCCAAGACCAAGTCGTTTTTATCTTTTAAAGACCTAGAAAGGGTTATTAACGCCTTTGTTACCTCGAGACTGGATTACTGCAACGCTCTGTATGTGGGTATGGACCAGGCCTCAATTAGACGCCTGCAGCTAGTTCAGAACGCAGCTGCACGTCTTCTCACTGGCCACAAAAAGCGTGACCACATCACCCCAATTCTGGCCTCACTGCACTGGCTTCCAGTTCGGTTCAGAATTGATTTTAAAACTCCTTTTATTTGTTTTCAAAGCCCTAAATGGGCTGGCTCCGGCCTATATAGCTGAACTCCTCCAGCGCTACACCCCAGCCAGAGCTTTAAGGTCTGCTGACCAGCTGCTGCTGATAGTGCCCAAGACCAGGCTCAAAACCCAAGGGCACCGAGCATTCGCAGCAGCTGGCCCTAGGCTCTGGAACACTCTGCCCCTCCATGTGAGGTCGGCCCAGGGGTTTTAAATCTACACTTAAGACTCACTTCTTCTCTCTGGCCTTCTAGCCTTTTCTTATCAAGCTTCACTTTTGTGGAATCAGCTTCCAGTTTGTGTTCGGGCGGCCGACAGCCTATCCGTTTTGGGAGTGCACTTAGGACCTTCCTTTTTGGTGAAGCTTATGGTTGATAGAATAGTCTAATGAGAGTGCATTGACGTAGATACGCTGTGCCTCTTCACCTACATTTTGGTTCTTGCTCTTTCACTTAAATCCTAAAAACTTGGATCTTATATTTAAAACTAAGGTTATTACTACTACTCATTCTTCTAAATCTTGTCTCTCTCTACTTCTCATATTCTCTACTCCTGTAATCGATTCTTTCTATCCTCTCTTTATCCAAAAACCTTTTCCCTCTCTAACCTCTCAAGGTTTTATTAGAGGGAAACAGGTTTGCAGAGAAGCTTATCCAGGCCGGGGAGTGTTATGACCATATTCACAGCCTCCTCCCTACCTCTGCTAAATTCCAACTAAGGCTCCAGTGGGGCCTTTGTTCCCTGCGTGTGCTGTTTCTGTTTCTTACTCTCTTACTTGCTACCCTTTTCCCTTAACCTATCCTAAGGGAGTGCTTGTTCTTCCTTTTTTCTGTCTGTGTCTGTGTACTCTCATGTTCCGATTAACCCAGCCTCCCCCAAATGTTCTTGTTTTGTGTCTATATCTACGCCGGGATCCGGAGTCGAGGCAGATCCTCTTGCTGTGGTCCTGTGCCCTGGATCCTCTATCCTGAGTTCTGGATTAGTCGTGGACTTCGGGTCGTGGCTGAACCTGTCTCTGTGGTCCTGCCTGACTCTCATCATGCTGCTTCCCTGATGGCTCCCACAGGATTGTTGACATCCTCGTGGATTCATCTTCTTATTATAGACACATGCATTTCCAAACATTCGGTCTACCTATGCTGTAAAATGTATTATCTCTTCGATTTACACACGGCATCTATTGCACGTCTGTCCGTCCTGGGAGAGGGATCCCTCCTCTGTTGCTCTCCCTGAGGTTTCTCCCATGATCCTTTAAACTGTGGCTTTTTCTCCGGAAGTGTTTCCTTGTACGATGTGAGGGTCTAAGGACAGAGGGTCTAAGGACAGAGGGTGTCGTTTTCTCATACTGATATTCTGCACAAACTGTGCTGTTGTATTTGCTGTAAAGTGTCTTTACTGTAGGGTATTTTTATTATATGTACAGCACTTTGGCTCGACCAAAAATCGTTTGAAAATGTGCTATATAAATAAAACTTGATTTGATTTGATTTGATTTTTCTACCTAAAGCTACGTCATGTGTTGTCTGTATTTGCTTCCCCTGTCACGAGTTCTGATTGCTCAGTGATGATACTTATATTTCTATAATCTGTGGAATCTCAGGATGTTAGCTAAGCCTGTTTGTGCAGATCCAATAAGTATATCGATCGGTATAGCTAGAGTTCTGTAATAACGGCATTATGATTTTTTCTGTCAGGGCAGATTCAGAGGCTCAGCGTTAGTCTTGTGTTTTTTTTTGCTCAAAAATGGTTCATATCATCAGTTAGCTGAGTTTCTTCCCGTTACATGGATATGAAACATTCATAGTTTATTAAATATTAAGAAGCCCTCAGACGCTGTTTTCCTGCAGATGATGCGTTTTTCCGCCCGGGGGCGGACCGATGGGGCTCAACAGGTTAAGCCTCATTCCCCCGCGGGCGGGGGGAAAAACGCATCACTGCAAGAAACAGTGTCTGAGGCAGTGGCATAACTATCGACGATGCCCGGGGCCCCGAGCCGGCAAGGAGCCCATGCAAAAAAAAAAAAGAAAAGATTTGTAATGTGTCTGTCCAATGACCTTGCTCCCTTTCATGTCATGTGATACCTTGCGTGACGAGAGAACCGTTTAATCAACCTGTACTGTACTGTAGCTAGCAGCAGCAAGTTCGGCAGCATTATAAAATATCTAATAGCTGGCATTTATAATGTACAGCAAACCAAAGCACAAGAGCGGCGCTCAAAAGAGAAAGAACAAGAGAGAACAAGGAGGTGTAACAGCTAAACTGACAAAATTAGACCGTTTTTTTTGTCATACATCGTCCTCGAAATCGAGCGCTAACGTTAGCAATGTTGACGTGCAGCGGCAGCCGGAGCCGGAGGCTAACGATAGCTCACCACCATCATTGCCATCTAGCTCCACAAGTGAAGCTGTACCCGTGGCCGTGGCTGTGCAACCTTCTTCTCCAGCCAGCCAGGAGGAGAGGCTGGATTTGGCTGTGCCCGGCGGTGGTCCAACAGTTACCCCAAGGGCCCCAACCGATAGGGGACTCTATGTCGCTATTGAGACCCCCGATGCCAAGATCAAAAGCTATATTATAGCAACCGGTCTATGTAGGCCTACCGGCCCATTCCCCAGAGACAAACATCAAGGAAACAGGTTTAATCCTCTTCTTAGTTCGCTGTGCCGTTGTCAGGCTGTGGTGGTCTGAGGCCAGGGCAGGCTGTTGTTGATGGCCTATACATGTGGCGCTTCTGAGTGGTTGTGTATGTCCATGTGTGTGTGAGCGCATCAGCGTGCGCTTATGTTTGGGGCGATGGGGGGGGGGGGCCCCAAAACAATATTTGCACCGGGGCCAATCAGAACCCTGTTACGCCACTGGTCTGAGGGCTTCTTAATATTTAAAAACCTATGAATGTGTCATACTCAACTAACGAGAAGGAACTCAGCTACCTGATGATACGAACCATTTTTACCGAAACAAAACACAAGTCTCACAAGAAGCGTCTAAATGAGCCCTGAGTGAAAAAATGCTATCGCACTTAGCACAGAACTCACAGCTTAAATAACCGTATTACTTATCGTATCTGCAAAAACAAGATATCGATTAGCAAGCTGAGATTCCACAGATTCCAGAAATATTAGTATCATCACTGAGCGATCCGAACTCGCGACGGGGGAAGCGAAAACAGACATCACAACATGTAGCTTCACGGAGGAAGCTTCTTACTTTAGCTGTTGTTCTGATCAAAATGTGTGTTCAATGGCATCAAAACGATGAAAACGCTGCTGAAGGTTAATCCAATGTGTCTCTGTCACTTTGAAATGATTCCTGATAATCCATCTTCATATTTACTAGTTTGAGCCTAGGTTTCAGTTTTCAGAGCATAACATTGCTTTCGACTGCGTGCGCATAGCTCTCACTTGTCAATGGTAATGTGTGTGTGTATGTGGAACTTCCCCTTAGATTCTATTGGCTCTAACGGTTCAAAAGAGGTGTCAATCACCAAAATCGACCAATGGGTTCCAGAGAAACGGCAAATACACCGCAAATTTAAAGAGCAACATGGCTCTACCACAGTCAGTGAAATAAACCACAGAACAAGAAAGCAGACGTTAGCGTTAAGATACTCAGTGTGGATCATAGTAATATCAGCCTGATGTCTGCAGCTCAGAGTCATCACAACTCTAGAGATGGAGAACTGACCTGAGAGTCTCCAGTCTGCAGTCTGGACTCTCCAGAAGATCTCTCAGCAGCTCCACTCCTGAATCCTGCAGATCGTTGTAACTCAGGTCCAGATCCCTCATATGGGAGGGGTTGGACTTCAGAGCTGAGACCAGAGCAGCACAGCTGATCTTTGACAACCTGCAGCCAATCAGTCTGAATAAAGAAAACATGATGTAAGTTTCAAGGTTTAATAATCTGTTCAGAGATGAAGAAAGTTTAGATGTCAGAGTGAAGAAAGATGTAGTTCCATGATAATCCAAGGTTTAACTATATGGGTGGTGCTGACGAAGTCTATAAGGACTTGGTTTAAGAACTGGAATGTCACCGGTTCAATTACCCAAAATACCTAGTGCTACCGAGGTGTCCCAGAGCAAGGCACCATTCCCTACACTGCTCCCCGGGCGCAGTGCGCTTTGGCAGCCTACTGCTCCTAACACTGGGATGGGTCAAATGCAGAATGTAAATTTCCCCTCTGTGGTTTGATTAAGGGTTCCTTCTTCTCTTCTTCTATAATCTATGAAGTACAGTCAGTGAACTGACCTGAGAGACTGCAGTCTGCAGTTTGGACTCTTTAGTCCAGAACTCAGCAGCTTCACTCCTGGATCCTTCAAACCGTTCTCACTCAGGTCCAGATCTCTCAGATGGGAGGGGTCTGACTTCAGAGCTGAGGCCAGAGCAGCACAGCTGATCTCTGAGAGTCCAAAGCCAGTAAAACTGTCATGACAGATATAACAGAGTGAGTTATTTACAAAAAGATGTAACATCATATTAACTTCATGCATTTGATGAAAACATTAGACCCACCAGGTTCTGATTAACATTCACTGTTAGTCCACTTAATATATTATTGAGTTTTTTATGTTCATTTTCAGCCTGACAGATCTTACTTTACACTCTTGAGCATTGTGGTAAAACAGATCGGGTATAATGATGATGAAACTACAATACTGTTATAATAACTTAAATGCATTCACTGTAACTGTAAAATACTGCTGTTGTGATCAAATGCTGCTTTGATAAAACCCCAACCAAAACCTCTTAAGTGCTCCATTTGATGACATAACCAAAAGGAATATGAAGAAAATAAAAAACGGCAACGTTTAAATAATAATAAACAAAATAACATTCATTTTATTTTTGCTCTCACGGTTTGTGTTTATTTAAAGAAGTAAACTTCTGATCTACACTCATTTATGAAGTTAATCACATGTGGACATACTTGGCCTTTCTGCAGTTCCTCACAGCTGGAATCAGTCTCAGTCGTCCCTCCTCTGATGTGTTGTACTTCTTCAGGTCCAACTCATCCAGAACCTCTTCTGACATCTGCAGCATGTGGGCCAGAGCTGAGCAGTGGATCTCAGTGAGTTCCTTCTCTGATCTGTTCCCTGACTTCAGGAACTCTGTGATCTCCTGGTGTACTGAGAGGTCGTTCATCTCTGTCAGACAGTGGAAGATGTTGATGCTCCTGTCAGGAGAGATTTTATCACTGCTCATCTCCTTCAGGTTCTTGATGGCTCTTTGGATGATTTCTGGACGGTTGTCTGTGCAACCCAGCTGGCCTCTGAATAGTCTCTGCATAATATCTGGACGGTTGTCTGTGCGACCCAGCAGGCCTCCTAAGAGACTCTGGTTGGACTCCAGAGAGAGGCCGTGGAGAAAGCGGACAAACAGGTCCAGGTGGCCATTTTTACTTCTAAGGGATTTCTGCATGGCTTTCTTCAGGAAGACATCCAGTGATGGGTAATCCTGATCTCTCTTTAGGAAGTCCTTCAGTACGGCTGTGTTCCTGTTGGTGTAACAGTGCAACATGTAGACTGCAGCCAGAAACTCCTGAATGCTCAGATGAACGAAGCAGTAGACTGTTTTCTGGAAGATCACACTCTCTCTTTTGAAGATCTGTGTACAAACTCCTGAGTGCACCAAGGCCTCTGTGACATCAAGACCACAGCGCTGCAGGTCTTCTTGGTAGAACATGATGTCTCCTTTCTCCAGATGTTCAAACGCCAGCCTCCCCAGCTTCAGAAGAACTTCCCTGTCAGCCTTCGTCAGCTGCTGTGGACTCGTCTCATGTCCCTCATTCATACTTCTCCTTCTTCCTCTTGGTCTGGACCAACAGGAAGTGTGAGTACATGTCAGTGAGGGTCTGGGGCAGCTCTCCTCTCTGGTCTGTAGTCAACATGTGGTCCAGAACTGCAGCAGTGATCCAGCAGAAGACTGGGATCAGACACATGATGTGGAGGCTCCTGGAGCTCTTGATGTGAGAGATGATTCTGCTGGACAGTTCTTCATCACTCGATCTCCTCCTGAAGTACTCCTCCTTCTGGGCGTCAGTGAAGCCTCGTACTTCTGTTACCCTGTCCACACACTCAGGAGGGATCTGATTGGCCGCTGCAGGTCTGGAAGTTATCCAGACGAGAGCCGAGGGAAGCAGCTTCCCCCTGATGAGGTTTGTCAGCAGCACGTTGACTGAGGACTGCTGTGAGACATCAGACACAACCTCATTGTTTCTGAAGTCCAGAGAAAGTCTGCTTTCATCCAGGCCGTCAAAGATGAGCAGCACTTTGCAGACAGCCAGCTGCTCTGCTGTGACCTTCTGTAAGGTTGGATGGAAAACATGGAGCAGCTTGAGAAGACTGTACTGCTCACCTTTGATCAGGTTCAGCTCCCTGAAGGAGAGTGGGATCACCAGACTGACATCTTGATTTTCCAAACCCTCGGCCCAGTCCAGAGTGAACTTCTGCACTGAGAAGGTTTTTCCAACTCCAGCGACTCCGTTGGTCAGGACCGCTCTGATGCGAGTCTGTTGGTCAGGTAAGGCTTTAAAGATGTCCTGGCACTTGATTGGAGTTTCATGGAGGGGCTTCTTCTTGGAAGCTGTCTCCAGCTGCCTCACCTCATGTTGGGTATTAACCTCTTCACTCTGTCCTTGTGTGATGTAGAGCTCAGTGAAGATCCTGTTGAGGAGGGTTTCACTTTTATCAGTTCCTTCAGTCACACGTTCACATCTCCTCCTCAGACTGATCCTATGTTCATCCAAAACGTCCTGCAGACCACTATCTGTTGGAAGAGAGGAACACGAATAGATTAATGCAAGTGATTCAAAATCACAAAACAATTATCAGGATAAATTATTTCTCAGAAATGAAAACACCAACAGACAGATGTTGAGACTTACTTTGTGTAATGCTGCATCTATCTCCACACTGGGGACAGGAGGGGTCTCCTGATGGAGGTCTCTGCTCCAAGTATGATGTGATGCACTGTCTGCAGAACCAGTGTCCACAGCTGGTAGAGACTGGATCCTTCAGGATGTCCTGACACAGAGCACAGCTGGACATCTGCTCCTCCACAGGAACAGGATGATTCCTCTTCTCTCTGTGGAGATCACAATCTTTATAACAGTTTACATGACTGATGGAGGATTTCACCAATCGTTCTAGTTTGATAAAATAAAAGGCCTTTATGAATGGGGGTTTCAAAGGCGCTCCTAGGCCAGCGTGGGTCCCTCCCCATGACTGACCTCTCCTTATACCTAAGGGAAATGCCTTCCACCCTCCTGAGAAAACCTATGTTGGCAGCTTATATTAACAATATTGTTCATTCGATCCTAACCCCCCTTTATGACCATAGGTGAGGGTAGAATGAAGATGGACCGGTAGATGGAGAGCTTTGCCTCCTTGCTTTCGCTTTAACCTTGTCAAAGTTCCCACTCATTCCCTACTCGGAGTGAACAGTCCATCGGTTTCCTGCTAAGAACCATGGCCTCAGATTTAAAGGTGCTGATCTTCATCCCAGCAGCTTCACACTTGTCTGCAAACCGATCCAGTGAGAGCTGAAGGTCGCAGACCGTTAACGCCATCAGAACCACATCATCTGCAAAAAGCAGTGATGCAATCCTTGGCTCAATGAACTGCAGACCCCTTCCCCCACGACTACGCCTTGAGATCCTGGGCATGAACATCACAAACAGGATTGGTGACAGAGCGCAGCGCTGGTGGAGGCCAACCCTCCAAGGAAATAAGTCCAACTTACTGCCGGGGACCTCAAAACAGCTCTCACTTTGGGAGTACAGAGATTGGATGGCCCCCATTAGTGACCCCTTCACCCCATACTCCCACAGCACCTCCCACAGTATCTTCCTGGGAACCCGGTCACACACCTTCTCCAAATCCACAAAACACATATAGACGGGATAAGCATACACCCAGGCCCCTTCCAGGATCCTTGCGAGACTAAAAAGCTGGTCCGTCGTTCCACGACCAGGACGGAATCCGCATCGTTCCTCCTCAATCTGTGGTTCGACTATCAACAGGACCCTCCTTTGCAGCAGTTTAGAGTAAACTATCCCGTGGAAGCTGAGTAATATGATGCCTCTATAGTTGGCACCGACCCTCAGCATGATCCCCCTTTTTGAAAAGGGGAATCGCCACCCCGTCCTGCCACTCCTTCGGTACTGCCCCCGACTTCCATGTAATGTTGATGAGACGTGTCAACCATGACAGTCCCTCAACACCCAGAGCCATTCATATTTCTAGACGGATCTCTTCAACCCCAAGGACTTTGCCACCTTGGAGTTCTTTATATCAGTGACCTTGTCCTGGGAGATTGACCCACCGTCATCCTCCAGCTCTGCCTCTACATGTCGGGTTCAGGAGTTTCCCAAAATGTTCCTTCCAACGCCCCTAGACCCTTCTAGTTGAGGTCAACAGCGTCCCATCCTTACTATATACAGCTTGGATGGTTCTCTTCTTTCAGGGCTGGGTAACCTTCCTTCCTCCTCTGTTTGATGGTGTCTTTCCCGTGACGTTCCCAGTTCACCCGCACTACACGTTTGGGTTTAAAAAAATGCTCCTTCTCCCTTCGCATGGTTCCCTCTCCATGAATTCGCAATCTATTTACTACTATCACAAATAAACATCTTAACAATATATTTTAAAAAGTCGTTTTGGCCCAGTGGGGGATAAGTCAGGCAGAAACCCTGGTCCTGAATAGGTAAAGATGAAGATTTTGTTGGACGAAATATTTTTCATAAATAATTCGTTTTTATAAAACTATTTTTCGGCTCCTTCATCTCTCTGGGGGGTAAGAAGCTGGAGCTTGTGTGGGAGGTGGAGCATTACCAGTTGGATCTGGTGGGGAGGCGGAGCGTTACCAGTTGGATCTGGTGGGGCTCACCTCTACGCACAGGCTCTGGAACCTTACTTCTTGATAGGGGATGGACTCTATTCTTCTCCTGAGTTGCCCAAGGTGTGAGGCGCCGGGCGGGTGCGGGGATACTCACAAGCCCCCGGTTGGGTGCTGCTTTGTTGGAGTTTATCCCAGTGGACGAAAGGGTCGCCTCCCTACGCCTGCGGGTTATGGGGGGGGGGGAACTCTGACTGTTGTGTGTGCTTATGAACCAAACAGCAGTTCAGAGTATTCAGCCTTCAACCCTGAAAAGAGTCCTGTATGGGGCTCCTGAAGGGGACTCCATAGTCTTGCTGGGAGACTTCAATGCCAGGTGGGCAATGATGGGGACACTTGGAGGGGTGTGATTGGGAGGAACGGCCCCCCTGATCTGAACCAGAGTGGTGGTTTGTTACTGGACTTCCCTGCTAGTCATGGATTGGCCATAACAAACACCATGTTCGAACATAAGGATGCTCATAAGTGTACGTGGTACCAGAGCACCCTAGGCAGAAGGTCGATGATCGAATTTGTTATCGTATCATCGGACCTGAGGCCGTATGTTTTGGACACTTGGGTAAAGCGAGGGGCAGAGTTGTCAACTGATCACCATCTGGTGGTGAGTTGGGTCGAGAGGCGGGGGAAGCTTCTGGACAGACCTGGTAAGCCCAAACGTGTAGTACGGGTGAACTGGGAACGTCTGGAGGAGGCCCAAGTTCAGGAGGCCTTCAACTCACACCTCCGGCGGACATTTTCAGGCATCCCTGTGAAAGATGGGGACATTGAACCAGAGTGGGCGGTGTTCAAAGCCTCTATTGCCAAAGCCGCGGCGGGGAGCTGTGGTCTCAAGGTCTTAGGTGCCTCAAGGGTTAGGTCTTGAACTTCCTGGTGGACACCGGTAGTCAGGGAAGCCGTCCGACTGAAGAAGGAGGCCTTTCTGGATATGTTATCCTGGGGGAGTCCCGAGGCAGTTGCAAGGTACCAACGGGCCCGAAGGACAGCAGCTTCAGCCGCGGCCGAGGCAAAGCAGCGATCGTGGGAGAAGTTTGGAGGAGCCATGGAGAAGGACTTTCGGTCGGCACTAAAGTTGTTCCGGAGAACCGTCCGACACCTCAGGAGGTAAGGATAATAATAATAATAATAATAATAATAATAATACATTTTATTTTTAGGCGCCTTTCATGACACCCAAGGACACCGTACAATTCGTTAAAAAATAAATAAAACGCTAATAGGCAACAAAACATGATAAAAACACAAACAGGAAATCATGGAGGAGACAGTCAAGTGGACACAAATGAAACATATAATGGGGAGCACTACAGTGAGTAGGCAGATCTGAACAGGTGGGTTTTTAATTGGGATTTGAATGTGGTGATTGTGTCTGACTGTCGGATGTGCGGGGGGAGGGA